AGCAAGAACTGTTCTGGGCATACCTGCCAAGGGTTGACAAAGACGGGGAAGGTAGTCATGTGGAAGAATGACCAGAGGCTGCTGTGATAGGCAATCGCTGCTAACAAGCTCCTTCACCAACATCACGCAATCCTTACCATTTGGCGCATAGTCCTCCAAGGCCAAACTGCCCCAAGGCCAAAATGGCCCAAGTGTTTTTTTTTTGCCAATGCATGGCGCATTGGACATACTAGTCCTTACCACCTACTTGTCTTTTTGGGTGCCCTCACTCCTCTCCAATCTCTGTAGGTCGCCATGGCTCGCCATTCTCACGGTCCAGCGAAGGCAGATCCTGGGGGGCCCCGATGGGATTAATTGGTGGCTTTGTGGGAAGCACCTAACCTTGAATTGGTGGCTTTGCAGGAGGTACCTCACCCTCAAAGGAAAGAACAGTTTTTCCAAACACTGGAAAGTAAGGCTCCTCTCGAGCAATGAAGCGCCATGAATGGTTCACATCAGGCTCACCCCCCTTGGCATTTGGGACCAAGCCAGAAATTGATATATCCAGCTGCTCAAAGAATGCCTTGTAGTTCAGGGTGCCCTTCAAAATGCAGCATCGCATCTCACGGCCTTTGGATGGCATGACCTTTGTCTCCAAGATGCTGAGGAAATCCTGCAACAGTTTGGTTGGAAGGTGCAGCAATAGAAACAGGGTCATGAATCATGGTTCTATTCTATTCAATTAAAATTCTGTTCTGTTGTCAGCTAACCCGATTGATCACAACCTATGATTGGACCATCATACTCCTCCGGTGTTTGAATGGTGGTCTCATTCTGGAACGATGTCACTGCAATAGACAGCCGTTGGTCAACACCATTGTGAGTGTGGCCAACCTGTCCATAGAAGTGGCTGACACTCTTGAACCTTGGTTGTGTGCAAAAACCTGTCAAAAAATGCATGGTCGAGTTCAGAACTAGCACCAAAAGGGTAAAGCATATATGCAGGTGAGAAAAGAGATAAAATAATCCGCAAATAATTCTAGACACTTGGATCGAGCAATGGCAAAAGCTGACCACTTCGCTACCGTTTGGTTCTTCCCCTCACGGCACGTGTTGTCTGTCTGCAGGGTTGAGCCAAAGAAAACACTTGGTATTATATATGTTTTTTGGAATCCACACTGGTAAGGACATAAGGGCAAGAGCCCTCGCCCCTTCCCAAGCAAAGAGGAACATTGGAAACACCAAGTGGGAATTTGTCAGCGCAAAAGCTTTCTTGGTGGACATATCCTATTTGGTTTCCCACACCTCCAGAACAAGATGTTCTGGAAACACAATGCCCTTCTTGGAAAGGATGTCCGAGCACCAATCCAGAACCATATCCAGCACAGTCATCTCCATCGAAGCATCCTTTGGGATGTCATTGTCCAGGATGAGGAAGCCCTCGCATACCTTGGGCAAACAAGTTGATGGCTTTGTCCTTTTGCATGGGCCTGCAAGACCCTGTACTCCCTGCATGGACATGGAAGTGGGGAACACACCAAACCAGGCCAAAACGTCCCAAACCAGAGTTCAACTTTATACTAAGGTGCTCCATGGGCAATGAAGCCCACAATGTGAATATTGGGGCGCCAAAGTTGGCTCAGTGCTTTTGCTGAGCTCAGATTCCGAGGCCATCTCGTCTTGGCCTGATCTAGCCCATCGATGTCTATCTTCAATACAGATTGTGTTGGCGCAGACTCTGTCGTTGTGGTCGACTCAATGGAAAGCATCTGAAGTCGATCCTGCAAGCACCGGAAAGCCTTGACGCCATCGATGTGAATCTTTTGGGCCATCTCAACATTGGGGCGCTCAGCATCCGAACAACTACCAATTCTGGCTGAGAATTTCGCACATTGATCACACCTAGTTGGTCCAGCTTGGAACCCCAAAAAGGTGTATATAGTAGTTTTTCCTTCTGCTACCACAAACCCATGGTTTTGGTATTGAAAAGTATTGAGCCAAAGGTGGTTCGTTCTTGTTAGGCAAGGCACCTGCTGTGTTGACTAATCTTCCGCATGACCAAAAGTTGCCTCCATCCATTGTCATAGACATTCCGGAAAGTCCTGTTGGAAGCCCGTTGCTCTGGAGGCACCCCAGCACCCTCTGCCCAAAGGAGGTACTCGGCATGAAAAGCTTCCATGGTCATATGGTTGATGTGGCGTGGCTGAAGATCACCTGCTGTGAGATTTGGTACCCTTAAGCCCAAAAAAGTCTCCAATAAACAACATAAAATGACAAAGCGTGAAAAGGTTTCCAATAGTCTAATCTGGCTTGGTCACCTTTGGCACCAAGACCAGAGGCCCCACCCAAAGCACATGCAGCAACGGGGTTGCTTGCGCAGGCGTTGTCATGAAGATCCACCTTTTGCCCAAGAAGGCCAGCAGGCAACTCGGCCGATGGGTCGCCTTCAAGGTGACAGTTGGGGAACCAGTTGGGCCTGTAAGTATACAACCGGTGTTCAACCTTCAAACATTTACAACCCAACCCTGGCTTACATTGAACATCTTGGGACAACTAAGCTTGCCTGGCAGAACTACACCTGACAAATGCAAGTTCCCAACCAACTTCTCCACCGCTTCAGTTTCAGCCAGGTGCTCTGCCTGGGCTGTTGAAAGGTCTCTATATAAAAAGATATACTATGTCCCCTTTGTCAAACCCCTATAGCCCCTGACCCCAAAACAAATGATTTGGGTAGAAACATGGATTGTCAGGGTGCGATGTGGTAAAAGTAGTAAGTGAAGAAGGCATCTGCGCTGTCATGCTTGGGTGTCTGTTGAAGGCCTCCATTGTAGGCGCGCTTGTCAATAGGCACCTGGTTTTTCTCCACACCACCTTGCAATCGGTAGACCTGACCATGTCCAAAATCATCAACATATTACCCAAGGCTTAGCAAACACTTTGGTTTTGTGATGGTTTGTGTCTTAGTTGACAAAAACCCCAAAGAAAGAAACAGGTATTGCATTTCAGCAAATGACCCTCTTCCGGTTCACCAAGAGGAGGCTGCAAAACCCATTGAGACACACATCGAAGCCACACACCTGGTACGAGTACTTGCCATCCACCTGAGGGACAAAATACATGGACATAATAAGCAGGGTTTGGTTTTGAGTTCATGGAGTCATGTTTCAACAGCAGCTGGAAGTGGCACAACAAGTGCAAGTTCTCTGAATTGATTCACCCGGCGCATTCAAGTTTTACCCTGCACCTGCAACAGCTTGTTCAAGAGCCCCAGCACATAGGAGTTCAGCTCATCCTCCGACCACTCCTTCATGCGGGCATGGAGGTCCTTGGTTGTTTGCAGCAAACGCTGGGCCAATAAAACCATTACATCCTACATCCGGCATAGGAGCTGTTTACAGCAAATCCTTTTATCCTACACCACACCCCCAGAGTTGAACATAAAAAAACAAATTACAGTAAATGGCCAAAGAGGTTCTTCTAAGAAAGCCTTCCGGGAAGGAGCCTCCTCAAAGCACTGGATGCACATCTTGGCACAACATCTCCACTTTGAATTAGAGGCCTGCTTCTCACCACTAATCCTGAGTGAGGGGCTGGCCAATGATGAGTTCACGATAAGTTGCAACCCAAGAAACATTGGGTGGGTCCACTAAGAAAACCAAAGCAAAAAAGATCCTAATCTCCCATGTGTCAACCTTGGAGCATTGCGCTGGCGACAGGGTGTCGCTTGAGCTGTTCCATGCATCATGTTCGGCATGGACGGGGTCAATTCAATGACCGGGCCATCATCATCCGGAGGAAGATCCATAGCTTCCGAGGGCACTAGAAAATGCAGAGTCTACTTTCCAAACATGTGGGCATTAATCTTGAGAGGGGTTCTTAAGTCTCCTATATATAAATATCTTCTCCACATTATCCACCACTTCTGTTTCAGCCAAATGCTTTGGTCATTGAAATGTCACTCAAAGCCCGACACCAAAACAATAGGTGTGTTTAAAGGATTTTAATTGTTTTTTGGATACACATGTCTGGGTGGGATAGTGAAGCCATATGGAATATAATAGGTGAAGAGTGCATCCACACTCCCTTTGACTCCAAAACATATCTTCTTATAAACATGGGTTGTACCATTTCAGGGTGGGATGCAAAAGATGTGAAAAGTATCGGTGGGAAAAACATCCACAACAACCCCATGTCCCCTTCCGCCTGCCAGTGAGGCAGCGGAGCACCGCAGCAGCGGCAGCGGCCAGCAGCGCTGCCCACCCACCCCCCCCACCCCACCCATCCCACTCTCATCTCACATCCCACTCTCATCCCATCTCCAACAACAAGGTGGGTGAATTGAGAAGTCCAGTAGATCAAACAATAACATCCTATTTATCTGTTTCTATTTTTTTAACATGGTGGTTGGACTCCACCAAGGCGTCCCAGAATTGATTTCCAAAGACCCATGATTGATCGCAAAAGTTTTATCATATATAATCATATAATATATATATAACTATAACATTCATGTGGCTACAACAACTGTTCCGTCAATGTGATGTTGTTGGAGGTAGGGTGTATGGTTGTTTGACCCGCAGCTCAGGTCTGTCAGCGAACCGCCTGGGGTCCCAGTGATGGATTGTTGGTCAATTCATAGGTCACAGGTGCTTGTGGTGCTTCACGGTTGCTTGTTTCCAATCCGGCGATATCTGATTATTTACGGTAATTGTTTGGATTCTTAGATCATGATGAACTTCGGGTGTGGTCAGAATCATTGGAATCATAGTCAAAGTAATCTTAGTTTAGTTTGCAGGGAACTGTCCTTGTCTTCGAGACTCCTTGAACCTCTAAACCTAGACTCAGTTGGGAAGGTCACGTCCTTTCTTTTTCCTGTGGGTTAGTTCTGACCTTCCTGGTTGCAAGGGCCAGTTGTTGACCTTTTTGGGTGATCCGATGTTCCAAGAAAAGACACAAGACAACGACAGGACTGGGTTGGACAGAACGCAGGTTGGCAGTGGTCTGGGCATTTGCTGAGTTCAATGCCAGCGAGGCGCTGTGCTGCGGCGCTGGTGGTCTTTTCGTGCGGAGGTGGGAGGTGTTTGGAACCCGAAGTCGCAGTGAATGGAAAAGGCATGAAGACCCATGTTGCAGTGGATAACGGTATTATTTACAGTATAATCAGCAATAATAGTTATAGAACTATTATGAGATTCATGTGTAAGTTGTGTACCTTCAAAAGGTACATGCTTACAAAAGAACACATTGTCATCATGACTAACGCACAAATGTCAGAGTTTGCCGCTTCCTTGATCGAGCTCATCCTTGACCGTGAGTCGCCATTTCGGGCACTTCTGAACGATGAACTCACTGGCTAGTCCCCTAGTCCCGACGGAGTCAGACTACAGACAGCTTGGAAGACGTGGATCGGATGGGTCGGTCCGGAGTCCATGGTCGTGCAGAAAAATGGTCAACAAGAACTTCATCATGGAGCCGCACTTCTCGGTGCCGTGTTTGCCGGCCGCTCCATGAAGTGTTGACCTGAAGGAAGACCCGCTGCCATGAGTTGACTCGTAGAAGGGGAACATCACCTGTCCGGCTGTTCCGTTTTGCGGGTTCAGATGGGTGTGAACCCCGAAGAGAGGTCCCGAACCCAGCAGTCGATTGATTTCTTATTGTCATCATATGTCCAACTTTGACATGGGTGTGGTCAACCACATCTCCACGTTTCAACCCCTGACTTCTTTAGGTTTCTCAATACGTGACTTTTCCAGGCCGAGGCAAACCTGTTGCCATGGGGGGGAGTTGGCAGGGAACTACCATGGCAGGTAACATGGAGGGATGGAGCAGTTGCCATTGGCAAACTCCCCCCCCATGGGAGCAGTTGACATGGCAGTTCCATGGAGCTGTTGCCAGGCCGAGGCGACTGTTTTGCTTTGTGATGTTGGGACTGAAGATGGCAGGCAATTGCCTTGGAGTTTGGTCTCTTACAGCACCTTCATCGAAGCCTCTCCTCACTGGAGCACCATGTGTCTCAGACGCAGCGAGTTGGCACAGCGAGTTGGTACGGTGCAAGAGCTTCCGTGTTGCTGTGACAGTTCGCTGGTGTCATCTAAGCATGATCAAGTTCAGAAGTTCAGATGAGCTGAGAGTGATATGGCAGGCGGCCATTTGATTTCCTCAAGTGTCACAGATGGTGAGAGTGACCCAGGACGTGACAGTTCGCTTGCTTGGACTCGTCGTTGCCCCCCTGAACTCGCCGAAGAACGCGAAAGGGACACTGAGGTGCTTGGCCCTGGAGCAGCTGCAAGATCAAGGCGAGGGACAGTGTGGTGTGGCTGGGAAAATGTCCAGGAAGCCAGGGGGATCAAGGGGGCATGGGTTCGATGTGATTTTCTGTTTAACCAATGGGTTTGATGTGTTGCTTTTGTTACCCTGGCAAGCCTGTTGTTGTTCAGAAATATTGGCCAGGTTCACTGGACATAGAAGTTGTGTAGCCTATTGAAGAACCTCCATAGGGTTAGGGCGAATCAGGTCATCAGATGTAGCAGATGATCGAGCATGACAAGTGGTGTGACAAGTGTTGTCATCCTGTACGCCATGGGAGACTGTCGGCTTGTGCTAAAAGAAACGATATTTGTTTATCTATTTATTTCATGTTATTTCAATCATAGTCCACCAACAGTCTGTGCGCGAGAATTTAAGCCACAAAACCATGTCGAATCCACGACCTCATGGCAAAATGTCCCTTCAGAAGCTTCATGTCCTTTTTCCTCCATGAGCAGTATTCGTTGGGTTCGATTGAGTTCCATTGCTTTGGACGGATCAACGCCGAAGCCGAAGCCGCCGAGGCCTCCGCTTGGATGGCCAAGGCTTGGCGGGCGCCGCCCGCCTGGACCTCAACTGGTTCCGGGTCCCGGTGTCGCAAAGGTCCTTGGTGGCACTTGGGCCGCGGTTTTGCCAGCTGGGTAGCCTGGGTTTATCTGACCAATACCAGTGCCACCAAGAATGGATTTGGATCTGACAGAACAGGTTTGCAGCATTTTGCAGCTTACATGCTTCAGAATGCGTTTGTGCCATGGCCTTCCAGGGCATGCAGGTTCATTTCTCGTTCCCAACCTGCCCTCTACTCTACGACTATGCTGGAGTAGCTGGAGTCGATCAGCCAGGTCTTTTGAGCTCCACCCAGGTCCACCCAGGTCTTTTGAAAAGAAAACCATTGGGTCCGATGTCGCTCCACCCAGGTCTCTTGAGCTCCGCCTCGTGGCACCAGGTCGGGAAAAAAAAGAGGATGTACCACTCGGTGTGTGAGGAACGCGAGACCTTTTTCAGCAAACTGGATGAACCACCACACGTGTTGTCTTTTGGTTTACTCTGCTGTATATTGGGGGGATGTTGGACAGAGTTCCTGTCTCCTCTTGCTAGGGCGAAAACCAGTTTGGGCCAAGGAGTGTGAGGGCTGGGTTTGCAATGGGAAATCCAACGTTGAGGAATGCTGAGGGCGAGATACATGCTGCAGGCATCAACTAGGCCCAAGCATTGAATCGTGTTGGGTGTGTCCTGAGTTTGACGGCATCGATCTTGAACCTATTTCAATCGTGCGATCTGAGTATCTGACAAGTGTTTGACATATAGTAATATAGCGGAGCTTTGGCCCAAAACAACGACTTTGGCATGTTCGACGGCCCTTTCTACTCTTGCGTATTGTTCGGAGGGCCGAGTCTTTTTTTTCTTTCGGACACACCCGAAATCGGGTGATTTCCTCTCAGAAACCGTCTCACAGACGTCTGGTTGGACGTCGAAACATTTGGGAGAGGCTCGAAGCAGCCACTCCCCAATGTTTACCAACTATGGCGATGAGCGCGTGAAACTGCTCAAGAAGGTTCAGACCAAGGACCAGATGGATAGAACTTCAGTCGGGCGAAGGGCGGATCGAGGCCGCGAGCCCTGGTGGATGCTGAAAAAAATCACCCTTAAACAGGGACAGATTCTCAACTAAATTTTGTAAGAATCTTGCATCAACGGCAGATGCCCGGTCCGTTCTTTACTGTAGCAGTTGCATGGGTTCTTGTGATGGTTCCAATTCTGCTACATGGGTGCTAGAGATTTCACACGTTCATCACCACAGACATCCTCACCTCCAAAAAGCTCCCCAGCCACCCAGCCCCAAAAAGGAAGAAAGCACCTCACCGTGGCCCAGTGGCCTAGTCCAGTCTCCAGTCCCTTTGGAACTTTGGTCCATCCTCTCTTGCGAGGATGACTTCAGCGCCAAGAAGTGGCGCTGCCTGACACATCCCACCCGAGCCATGGAGACCTTGTCACCCTATGCCGTCTTGGAGGCCGGACAAAGCCGGGTACGGAAGCCGAAGCGGCACGGGTAGCGAACGGCCTGGCCGCCGCGCTGAATTGAACCTACAGTTATCATATGGACCGACCAATTGTGGGGCAGCGCCGATACTGTAGGTGATGGGAAAGAGATTGGGATAATGTTTTTTCTTGGGGGGTTGGCGTGCTACGGGGAAAACGACGAAACTGACCTGTCGGGCAGTTTTGGAAGATAGATTTTGACTCGACACACACAGCGTTCTTGTGTTTGTTATTTGAAACCTTCAAGCAGATGGAGATCTATTGGTAAATCAAATCAATTCATAGTGCATGTTGTTCATTGTCCTGCCCTTGTTGGTTGATGACACTCTTTATGCAGACACCCGAGTGAAGATGCCCTCCAAGCACTTTGGGTTGTTGTTCGTTCAATCGAACTAACAAACACATATCATGATGAAAAATATTGAACAATGATGAACATGACTTTTGCCCAGTAAAACCAGCTATATACTTGGGATCCCCCAACTATGCTAACATCTTTGCCTTTTGGCAGGTGATAGATTCAGATGATGAAAACATACATGTTGCATAGTCGGAAGCTGAAAAGGAACATCCCCACCGTGTTGGACTTCCCCAGGGGTCGAGACGTCGAAGTCACTGGGCACTCGAATGGACGATGTTTCACCAAGCACCCACGGACCGATTTCCATGAAACTATCTGAGATAGTTAAACGGAACCATGTTTTTCCTTTTACCCAAAGTGGTCAACTGTCTCCCCATCGGCCCGCATCTATTGGACATACACCACGGTTCCGAAGCCAGCCAGGTGGGGATCTTGGCTGCCCGCGATCTCACGGAACGTGACCCGGGCTACTTCTCCACCGACACCGCACCGGATACTCGGAGTTGAGACACCGCAGCCGAGGGCCCGCAGCAGCTCTTCTGCCTTCGAGCGCCGCCTCCCCCCCTAAACCCAACGAGCACGTCAACGCCACGGTGAAGTTTTCAATCAATTGCCTTTGAGACCCAGATGAAACGCGCATTTTTGCTGATTCATGTCAGAGATTCAGAGTTGAGCTTCAATACTCTTCCCCTTAGCAATGTTGTCCAGATCTCAACAGGCTTTTCTGTTGCTCCAACAGACTTTACTCCTTACCATGGTCTAGCTCAATATCCTGTGTGAGAAAGAAAAGCCAGACAGCAACTTGACCAAAAAACAACAGCGGGCCTGCAGGAGGTTCAGTGGCACGCGGCAGGGGCAAACAGGTGAGACTTGTGGTGTTGTGGTGGTTGTTGGGGTTGTGGTTGTGGTTCTGGTTGTTGTTGTCGTTTTGTTCTTCTGGTAGTAGTAGTCGTCGTAGTAGTAGTAGTTGTTGTTGTTGTAGTAGTTGTTGTTGTTGTGCTGGTGGTGGTTTCTACCAGAAACAGACAATATCAGAACATGACAATAGTGCAAGGCAACATGAACCTTGGGGACATATGAAGCCATCTTCAACAAAGGGCCGCGCGCGGCCCCATAAACCATGTTTCCTCTTCTTGGATTGGGGGGGCACGTGGGTCCCTAGCACACAATGGCCCCGGGCTTGAATCCAAAAGGGGCCATGGGGGGGGTCGAACCCCACGCCAAATCCTCGGGAAAAATGCTCAGCAGTCAGCAACGACTCAAGATTTTACACATATATCATATCAAATTGTTTGGCAGGTTTTTGGCAATGTGACAGGCGGCCGACATCGCCCAGCGCTCACCGGAGCACCTTTCAGGAACATGCTGGCCCCGCTCCGCTCACGCTCACGCTCATCGGCCTAGACCGGGGTCAGCGGATTTGGTGCTCAATATTGGCACACCATTGGAAGTTTAAAAACAATTGAGTTCAGCAAGACATATACAACCTACTGGAGCAGTAGAACGCCTATTGAGATAGGAAGCCAGAAGAACCAATCATCATGCGCCTGGTCCAGATCGGTGCCTTCTTTCGTAGCTTTTCCTTTATTGGGATCTAATGGAAAGGACACAACAAAACAATTCTACCAACAAAGCAGATTGAAACAGCTTTCCTTGTGGTACTGAATTTAAAATCACATTCGAGAGCTTGGAAAAGTTAAGCAAAACATATTGAAGCAGTTGTAATTGAAAAGCCTTTTCAGACCGCGAGCAGCTTTCAAGGAAGAATGTTGAGGGGAGAGAAAGAGTTGTACAGATGAACATGTGATAGTGTAAATCAGTTACATCAGGAATGCACGATTTGAAAAGAACAACGGGAACGTATCAATAGACCAACAGTCAAGAAGCAAGGCAAGAAGGAACGACCAAGTACCTGAGTATGGGTCCAAATGTGCAATAGACCTTCAAAAGATCGTGCAGATGGAGAATTTGCAGGTTACATCGCCATAACGGTGTAAACAAAGAGAAAACAATAGATACCATTGTTTCAGACAAACATGATGGCAAAACCAAAAGCAAACAAACCCACACCCTTTTTTGTTTGTTTGGTTTTGTTTTCACTTTATATCAAGGATTGTTTGGTTTGTTTATTGTTTTGGTATCTTCTTCAAATCCCGGGAGGTTTGGTCTGAACACAATTTGATTTTTTTACGCGAACTCAAAACCTAAAACATTGTGTTGAAATTGGATGTTAAGCATCACAGTTAGAAACAACATTCCCCGTAAAATACACATGTTTTTGCTTTAATATATGTTGTTTGTACAAAAACCATCATCTCCCAAGAGCACCTGTTCTGTTGTTTTCTCGGGTCCAGAGAGCAGATGTTTTCCACTGGTTTGACCAGCCATGTCTGGGTGATCTGACCATGTGATAGTGGGCCTCAGGGCATCTACTGAAGGAACGGTGGCGCGAAGGGTTGCACATTTGGTCATTGCAAGTGCATGCAACCTGGGCCTATCATGGCCTATACTTATGAAAAATACGCTAAAACAAGAGCAAACCTGGCAGTCTTGATGAATTTCCAAACGAGAGACAATCTGAGGATTCCTTTGTGCAAGGAATTTTGGACGATTTTCCGCTTGAGAAGTGCAAGACCACGGTGGCAAGAGCAAAGAAGGAACCCATGTGGATCTTTACTTGTGAAGTCGAGATCATGGCACCCATGTCTATGTGGCTTTGGCACAAGTTGATATGGCTATAGAACATCCGTCAAGATATGGGAACAATTGGGAACCTTTTATCTTGCTTAGTCGATTGAATGATTGATTGGATTGTAGGTTGATTGAACTAAATAGGTGAACAGACCCTTTTTCGCTGCATGCCGAGCTTGCTTGGTGGAACCAGGGATCTGATGGATCGGAGCTACTACCAGACATAGCCTGGAAGGTTGTCTTTGACAGAAGAGGATGTCATGTGCACTTTTATGCACTTGTCAGACCCAAAGTTGCAGTACCTATACCGGTTACCTATGGAGGCCAGAACTGCAAAATTCCTTTTCAACCGTTTCCGCAAGAAACAGGGTTGACGTCTTCGTTGTTTTCGGCTTGGTGCGGTCGCAGCTGAGGTTACGCTTCCAAGTGAAAGATAATCGTCCAGAGACCGAATCTTGTCGAGTGGTGGTGGTCGCAGACTGCGGTTGCAGCTGAGCTGGTGTTTTTCCCCTCTCCCGGAGCGAATTCACAGCAAGAATAGTCGAAACCGGCTCTACTCCTTGATCTGATAGAAGTAGATGAGTCAAATGACAACATGACAACAAAATATATTTGTGTTCAGCAAAGGCAAGAGGCTTCTTTTGGAGCTTGAACATGTTCCTTTCTACAAACCGCAACAGTTTCCACAAAAGACACTAGACGGCGTCGTTTGCAGAAACGACGCGCAAAGGACACCATTGGAGCGTCTAGGTAGGCAGTGGCTCCGAGGACGACTTTGTAGTCGTTTTTGGGCCTGGAGCTCCCGTACAGGGCGCGGCTATGAGAAGAGATCAATATAACTATGCCCAATTCCC